ATCTGTGAAATGAGCGGCTGGACCACAGCTTCCTCTCGGCCCTTTGCAGCGCCAAACACCTCTGCGTTCTGAACAGCTCCTCACCCCCACATGCACAGCTTTGCAGGCTCTCTGACCTCTTCCAGTTCTGAGCTTTCATCTTTCACTGAAATGACAAAAATATCCTCCTTACCTCCCCTCCCTGTCCCTGATTCTAGCTCCAGCCTCACCGCCCCGCCAGCCTGTGGCTCTGGGTGGGGAGGGGATGGGGGGGTCTCTTCCTGCTTCTCTCAGTTCTTTTCTGTCCCATCTGGCTTCCTCCTTCTCTCCCCCCAAAACTCTGGCTACTAGTGATTTCCCCGAGTTATTCCTCTGCCCTTGTCCCTCCATAGCTGGGCCTGGCCATCTCCCCTCCCCTGCTCTGTTCCTTCCTGCTGTCAAGGACTCCTTGGGAGTGATCGCCTGCAGGGTCCTGGGTGTGGCCTCTGTACTCCCCCAGGCTCTTCAGGCTGGCCCTGTCCCATCTTCTTCCCATTCCCCACTCCCCCCATCTGCTTGTCATCCCTTCCCTGCCTCAGTTAATGGTGTCACCACCTGCCTGGTCTGTGCCACCAGTCCAGGCAAGTTCTAGTTTCTTGCCCCAGCAATAAGAATGGTGGAGCCACGGGGAAGGAGGAGGGAAGTTGGATCCTTGGTTTCAGGGAGGGAAAGGATTTCTAAGTATGTTCTTCAGTAGGTTAAATTTATTTCAAATTCAAGACAGGGCCTTACATGAATTGAGATAGCCATAGCCCTTGTTATGTCAGTGAGTGTGTGGAGTGCTTGTAAAATCACGATTTTCTTAAATCTCCACTGAAATTATGGACATCAAGGGTTGTTTCTATTTGATAGAGAATGAAATGGCGGTTTAGAGGATGATGAACTTACAGCTAATAAGAGCTCTGCAGGCTGGCAAAGAACCCAAGATGTCCATGTCCCAGGCTGAGATTGTTGGCAACATTGTCAACATTTTCTCCCTTTGTCCAAAATCTAAAGAAGTGACCCACATTCCTGTATATTGATATCTTGAGAACAGATTCTTAAATTTTGATGTAATTGGAGACCATCATACTTAGTGATCTATCACAGAAACAGAACTGAATACCACATGTTCTCACTCACAAGTGGGCCCTGAACACTAGTCACATTAGCACAAGGGAGGGATTGGCAGTCATTGGGCACTGCCAGGGGAGGAAGAGAAGGAGGCATGTAACAACACAAAGCGTACCTGGTCTTAAACCAGGGGAAATGAGGGCCAGTTGGAGGCACAAACTTCACCAGCATGGAGCCTACCTGTCCTTACTTATATCACACATCTCCATAGTAAAATAAAATAAATTTTGAGGCAAGTAGAATTGAAATAGAGCCCAATCACTGTGCCTAGAACAGTTAAAGTGCCAACAATAACACTAAAAAGATTTCTGTCTCAATTCTGAGAGGACAGGCCCCAGATACTAGAATCTGAATGCATTTCAATCCTAGCTTCCTGTATTAATCAAGACCTTAACCAAGTCTTAAGTCAAGGTTAGTTTTTCAATCAGGTTGACCCAATCCCTGTAAAACTTCCTGCTTCCTCCTTAATTTGCAGAACTTTGGTTAAAACAGAAAATTACAAAATCACAGAATAAAACGTTTTATTCATGTTTTGCAAAGCCCTTATTTGGGCTGAGGATGCAAAACCCACACTCTTCGACCCAGAGAGGTGGCTGAAGCTCAGCCCAGATCCAGTGGTAGGACAAGAAAACAATAGCAAATTGGGGTTTCTGCCCTTCGGTTACAGTATCTCCACAAGTAAGTGCTTAGGATATAGTGCAGTACATAATCTAAACAGAGAAGATGGAGCAGGGGCCACCCAGTGGCCAAGGACTTATTCCTGGGAAGCGAAAATGAGGTGAACTAACATGTCAGAGGAAGCAAATTTAGACCTCAGTAGAGAGCATTTGCTGCCCATCAACAGTTCAGTAATTGCCAGCTCCCCTGGTGACCTAGAACACTTCAGACACAGAAGTCAAGTCCCTTGGTGACCGCACCAGGCACCTAAGGCTCCAGGCTCCGAGGTACCAGAGCCCCGTCGGAGGCACAGCTGCACTTCTGCACCCTCATGTTGGGCAGGCTGACCACCCGGGGCCTGCTCCGGCCTCCCTCCTGGACGCTGACGATCACGGGCAGCGAAGCCATCTCCGAGGCAACGCACTGCCGAGGCCCCAGATACGGCCACTGGGAGGTCAGGGACTCGGGGGGCTGCTGGCAGGTGCCCACACACTCGTAAGCCAGGAAGCCCGGGGGCTCCAGGACCCAGTCCTCGGCCCACTTCATCCCCTGCAGGTCGATGTACATCTCCCGGCGGCAGCAGCGGGTGCCCTCGGTCGCTGGCGCCTCGGGGTCGCAATCGTCCCGAGCTCTGTGTGGACAAGGACGGGGTCAGAGGTCAGGGCACAGCTTCGTGGCGCATCCGGGAGGGAGATTTATGATCCACCCCTCACTACGTTCACAAGCTGGGTATCTGTGGTGGAGGACGGAGAGCTAGAGATAACTGGACAACGAGCGACCCATGTTTGCCGAGGACCACCGTAGACTCGGCTCACTCCTTCCCGCCCCCTGAAAAGCTTCCCACTTCAAAATGAGTGCAGTTGCCCCCGGTCTCTGTAGCCCCTCGGCACCTACCCATAGTCCTTGAGGTCCAGGGTGTGCAGCTCCAACTGGGGCTCGCCTCGCCCGCCCGGCGCCCCCTGCCCCGCAAAGCGCACCCGCTTGTGGGCGCTGGGCGCCCCCGGGCCCAGGCGCTCCCTCTGCACCGACACCTGCAGCAGCAGCGGCTGCCGGGGCCGGCTCAGCTGCTGCCAGAAGTTCACGGCCTCGGTCACGTCGAAGGCCTTCCAGCCGCTCTCGTGGACGGACACCAGCCTGAGACACCAGAGGGGGCAGGCCCGCGTGAGGGGCGGGACGGGACGGGCGTCGAGGGGCCCCGGCCTGCCCTCCGCTCCGCCTCCCTTGCCGCCCCCCCCCGCCCCCCGCCCGGCTGCACACGCCCGGCGCGGCCCCACCTGGAGTCCACGAGGGAGGTGCGGTTGGAGCCGTCGTCGCGGAGGCGCAGCCACTCGACGGTGACCTGGGCCCGCGCGCTGCGCGGGGACTGCCGCTCGGGCCTGGGGAGCGCCGCCCTGGGGACCGGCTCCTGGAAGAGCCGCAGCGTGGCCTGCACCAGCTCGCTGTCGGGCGGCAGCCGCTGCTCCATGCCGAACACCAGCAGGTGCGTGTTGGCCTCGGACGCCAGGAGCCTGCCGGCCACCTCTGGGGACACGAGCACGGTCAGCCGGGCCCCTCTGGGACAAATGACCACAGTTTCCCCCTTAACCCACAGGGAGAATCTGGGGGCTAGTATACTGTGGCCCAGGAAAGAAAGAGCACCTCCCACCACCACAAAAAAATTGGTTTTTGCAGTCAGGCCCAGTATCCTAAAACAATCCCATGGAGGCCGGGTTCGGTGACTCAGCCTGTAATCCCCGCGCTTTGGGAGGCCGAGGTGAGTGGATTGCCTGAGCCCGTGGGTTCGAAACCCGCCTGGGCAACTTGGCGAGACCTCACCTCTACAATAAATCAAAAATTAGCCGGGCGTGGTAGCGCGCGCCTGTAGTTCTGGCTACTTGGAAGGCTGAGGCGGAAGGATCGCCAGCGCCCAGCAGGTCGATGCTGCGGTGGCCGGGAGCGGCCACAGCACTCCAGTCGGGGCGACAGAGTGAGACTCTAACTCAAAAAACAAAACAAAACAAACAAACAAACAAAAAATCCCCATGGAGAGCTGGACTCGGTGGCTTACTCCTGTCATCCCAGCATTTTGGGAGGCAGAAGCGAGAGGATTGCCTGAGTCCAGGGGTTCTAGACCAGCCCGGGCAACTTAGTTAGCCTAGATCTCTTCTTTACAATAAATCAAAAAATTGGCCTGGCCATGGTGGTGCACGCCTGTAGTTCCAGCTACTTGGAAGGCTGAGGTGAAAGGATTGCCTGAGCTAGCAGGTAGAGGCTGTGACACTGGCACTGCACTCCAGCCTGGTGACAGAGTGAGAGTGAGACTCCAACTCAAAAAAACCAAAAACCAAAAACCAATCCCATGGAGTTGGGGCTTGTTGACTAGTAACCTCCACCCCCAGTTGTAGGGGCAGCTTTGGGACCCTGTGCAGGGGACTGGGGCTTCAAGTGTACAGAAGTGCAGCATTCTTTAGGTGGGGGAGGGACACAACACTAAAATGAGAAGGTAGATGGAGAGCAGGAGGCAGAGAACATGACAAATGGAAATCTGTGGTCCCCAACTGAACTGCGTTTTTCACGTAGAGCAAAGGAAAAGCCCTGAATTTGCTCTCACTTCCCTCTTTATGAGAGAACTCATGCCCAGTGACATGTCCCCGAGAGGAGGGACAGGGGACAGATGCCTGTAAACAACTTCTGTGGGGCTACTGAGCCCTGAGATAGTTGGCAGGGCCACATGCAACGCCCTCCTAACACCTGAGGCACCAATGTGCTCCTAACACCCAAGGCTCCAGGTTGGCAGCGTGGTCACCTGATGGACTAGCCACACTGCAGCCAGCAGTCATTTCTGCCACTTGATCAGGGTCAGCATCCTCATCTCCCCAGCACCCAACATGGCCAGAGAGCAGGAGGGATGTGAGTCTAACTCTGGACACTGAGGAGGTGATTCACTGTCCCAGGGAGGCAAGAGGCTGCAATAGAAGTCAGACCCAGCTCCATCCCTCAGAGCGAAGTATAACTCAGGTATCATTTTTCTTTTTCTTTTCCTTTTTTTTTTTTTTTGAGTTGGAGTCTCACTCTTTCATCCAGACTGGAGTGCATGGCACGTTCCCGGCCACCGCAGCCTCGACCTGCTGGGCTCCGGTGACCCTTCCGCCTCAGCCTTCCAAGTAACTGGAACTACAGGCGCGCGCTACCACGCCTGGCAAATTTCTTTTTTTTTTTTTTTGAGTTGGAGTCTCACTCCGTCGCCCAGACTGGAGTGCAGTGGCCACTCCCGGCCACCACAGCCTCGACCTGCTGGGCTCCAGCAATCCTTCCACCTCAGCCTTCCAAGTAGCTGGAACTACAGGCGCACGCTACCACGCCCGGCTCATTTTTTGATTTATTGTAGAGGTGAGGTCTCACCAAGTTGCCCAGGCGGATCTCGAACCCGTGGGCTCAGGCAGTCCACTCACCTCAGCCTCCCAAGGCATGGG